GTCGGCTACGCGGCACTGGGTTGTTCTGGAGAGAGGAGAGAGGGGTGAAGCTGGATGGAGGGGGTAAGGACGGGGGGCGAGGAGGCTCCTCCGAGGGGGCAGGGGGCACATCGTCCATCCCCTCGGCCAAGAGCGGTGCTGCTCCACTGGGGTGACCTGGGAAGCCGGCCACCGGTGTGCGCACCTCTGGCACCACCAGAGCCTCGGGGGGGATTTTGGGCAGTGAGAGCTTGCGGGGCCCCCCACAGGCGGAGCAGGAAAGTGCCACAGGAGTGTTGTGTAGCGTGCAGCGCGGGCAGGCCCAGCCCGTCCTCCGCTCTGTGTGCCGCTCCTCGCCGTCGCCCTCTGGCCCACGTGCCTCCTCTGCGGCCGGCTGCTGCACACGGGTATCCAGCACGGTGGCCAGAGGTGGGCCCGGGGGGGCGGGGGTGGGTGCAGGGGGTTCAGCCGGGGCCGGAAGGGGCCCATTGGCAGCAGGCGTGCCCGGCGAGGGTCCGAAGCCACAGAGGGAGCAGGCCCCGGACCCATGCGGGTTGCTGAGGGTGCAGCGTGGACAGGCCCAGCGCTGCGGCTCTTCCGTGCTGCTCAGCCGCAGGATCTGATTCAGGTCGGGCTTCTGGCGTGGCGCCTCACAGATGGAGCAGCGGGGGGCACCACCCGTGTTCAGGAAGGTGCAGCGGCCGCACGACCACTCGCTGCCCCGCACCACTGTTGCCATGGAACCCGGGGAATGGGAGTGACTGCAGGACAAAAATGGGGGAGGGGGGGGACAGAAAATAAAAACCCATAAGCAAAACATCCGTAAAGCTCAGCACGGCTGGTAGAGGCACCGAAGAGCTGAATGAGCCTCATCGGGTGGATGTGAGATCAGCCCCCGCCACTTGGGGTCTGCAGGAAGGAGCGACGTGGATCCCATCACAAAACAGGAACTCATTAATCTCCCACTAACTTGCACATCATGGGGAAAAGAGCGCCAGCCAATGGCCTTAACCAGCGTGCTACACTGAGACAACCCCCATGCATTCCATGTACCCACGTGCCTTTTACACGAATTATTACTCGGGGTAGGGGGGGGGGGGGGGGCGCGTAATTGGGGGGGGGGGGCTCGGGGGGGGGGGGGGGGGGGGCCCGGGGTGAGGGCGAGAGGCAGGGCTGGGGGGAGGGGGTACGTGGTAAAAGAGGGGGGTCAGGTTGTATCTCAGAGCAGCTCTGGCCAGCTACACTTGGGTGTGAAGTTGAGACGACGCCAGCTCTCACTTGGGATTCGAGACTGTGGCATGTAGGTGTCAACCTCAGGCACGACAGCCAAGGGCACCGATCCCAGTGCTGGTAAATCGTGGGGCTCACAGAAGCTCCAGCACTAACACAGCTGGCAGGGTGTCCAGCCCGGGATGGACTAGACAGAATCTAGCTCTGATGCAAAGAGGACTGGCCAGATCCTATAGAGGGGAATACTTAGCGGGGAATGCTTTCAAAGTCAGTGGGAAAAGGGCACTGCCTTTCGGAAGCTATTAAGGACTAACACACACACAGACAGAGACACAGACGCAAACACACTCACACACACACACACACACAGGAACAGACAGACACACATATGCACAGACAAAAACAGATGGACAGACAGAGATAGACAGACAGAGACAGACAGAAACACACACACACACATATATACAGTGTGTATAAACTGGTGGGTTTGCAGCCGCTTGCTGCATAGCCTCGAGTCAAGTAAACAAACAAATAAAACCACAGATTCCAACACGAATCCCGTCACGGCGTCTTTGGAGAGGCGGGAAGGCGGCAGTGAAATGTGTCTTCACACCTTGCCGGGATGCAGGACAGCTGGTCCTTGTCAGATGGAGAGGGGAACACAAACAAGCTCCTCCTGACGCAGACACGCAGACAGGCCGAGCTCCGCATGCGCATGGCGATCAAAGTAATATTCCTAACAAGCAGGCTGGGCTTGAAAGGGGTGGCTGGGGCTGAAAATGAGGTCAGTGCTTTATTATTTAAGAGCCTGCGCTGAGGAATGGTGGCGTCGGGTCTGCGAGACGCCCAGCAGAGCCCGCGAACGTGAGACTCGCAGGCAAACGGCCGCCTCGCACTACGACTCAATCACTACGGAGCTGCTCCAGAAACATCCAATAAGTTTCAGGGCGTGACCGAGCCAAGCGGCCAGCCAGCAGCTGCCCCTTGCACATGGAGGCGGGGCCGAACAGCACGCGTCTGCGAGCCCCGAGCCACTTCCCCAGTGAGGCCGCGAGGCATTTGGGCTGCGTTTCATACTCATTAGCGCCATCCTGCCCGGGCTGGCGGGCTGCCCAGAGAGCCAAGCTCCTGCACTCTCCGTCGGAAGCGGGAATCGCCTACAGTGCTCCAGTCTCTATGGTAGCAGGGTCCACTGTGCGCTCCAAGGAATTCCCAAACACCTCTGCTGACTCTGAGACTCTTTCACACACACACCTTGGTCAGACACAGCACCTGCTATAACCCAACGACACTATCGTTGGACACTGTGGATGACTCTCCACACACACGATACAGGCTAATAACCCTGCACAATACAAGAGGGCCTGTTACCAGACCCTCGCTTCACAGAGGAAGCCTCCTGCTTCAAATGGGATGACAATTAGCCCCAATCACGCAGGAAATCGGTCCCTCATGCCTGGTTGGAATAGTCTAGCCGGGGGTAGAGGGACTCAAGTAAAGCTAAACTAAGCCGGACATACAAGCGTCCTTAATCATCGGGTCGATCAAGGAATCGGGATAAAAGCTCAAATGTAAATTAACAGAAGCAGATGAACAACAAGTCTGTTTATAGGTTCTAGAAAAACCTGGCATTTCGCAGGACTTCTGGCATGCCGTGCGGCTGACTGGAGATTTATTGTGACAGCATTCCTTCTTGCTAGGCGTGTGGCAGGGACACCAGCATTGAGTGCTCAGCCATTATGGTTTTCAACGGTACAACTAAAACCAGCACTGATTCATAGCAGGGTCAAGTAGGGTCTCATCAGGGAGGCCTTCTCCTTCCCCTGAACCCACCAAGATCTAGGTCCCCATAAGCACTGCAAGGAGAATCCTCTGATTCAACATTCCAGAAACCCAGAAAGGCTTCAGAGACCCAGAGGAATAAGACTGACAAAACAGGGACACAGAGTGGAACATGTGAAAACAGATTACGGAGTCAATCCGAACGGGATTGCGGATTACTCGCCCCCTGATCGCAGCCCTGACCTCGACCGCTCTCTGCCAGTTCAGGCAAGGCCTTTGAGGTCCAGAGGGCTCTTCTGTACCCAGGCTTGCAAATTCCAGTGACTCAGGAAGCCCATTAGAGCTAACAGGGGTCTCTGGCGAGTCGCTGACCAGCCTCGCACCCAGGGCTACACTTTACAGGCAATAGCCTTTCCACAGATACCCCCAGAAGGCTACGATGGCGCAGCTATTGCTGCGATAAGGGAGGTCACGCTATGGCCTGCACGCTCAGGGAAAGCCGTCACAGCTTGAGCACGGATCTGAGAAATAGCCTTTTTGCCGGGTACACTTCATCGCTCGAGGTGCGGAACTGGACTGCTGACGATCGAGGGGCCGCCTGTTAGGCGAGGAGGCTGGCATGGCAGAACATCAGCCAATCAGCAGTCACAGAAAAAGCTGCCATGCTCCAGACAAGCCGGCCAAACCAAGTAGCCATACTACAAAATTTACGGCCAGACTGAAGGCGTGCCAACAAGGAACCAAGAGTAGCTGAACCATAACGGTTTTGAACAACAAACAAACAGCACAACTAACATGATATTCTCAGAGACACGAGTCCAGAATCTCAGAGACACGAGTTTCCATCATCGCTCCTTTGGCAACACAATCAATTAACATGTCAGGAAACGATCAGAGGGCTTCAAGATTGCAAGACTTCCAGGGTGAGTTTATCAGAGAGGACGTCTGGCTACCGCCCCTAATGCCCTTGGCGAGTTTTCAGCAGCGTTGGGAAGGGCGATGCTTTGAATGGTATAAAGTGTCCAGCAAGATAATGAAGGGTAACAGGCACTGTGCTGTATTCAGTCAAACATCATCTATCTGTCCACCCAGTACAGGGTTACAGAAGGCACGAGGCTGGGGTACACCCTGGACGGGATGCCAGTCCATCACAGGGTACGAGGCTGGGGTACACCCTGGACGGGATGCCAGTCCATTACAGGGCACGAGGCTGGGGTACACCCTGGACGGGATGCCAGTCCATTACAGGGCACGAGGCTGGGGTACACCCTGGACGGGATGCCAGTCCATCACAGGGTATGAGGCTGGGGTACACCCTGTATGGGATGCCAGTCCATTACAGGGCACAAGGCTGGGGTACACCCTGGATGGGATGCCAGTCCATCACAGACAGACCCATGCAGACAGACAGTAAAGGTGGTGTTTGAACCCCCAACCCTGAAGGTAAGCAGAAACCCTGAGCCCCCCCGCCCCCCCCCCCAGCTGTGAAAACAGTGGAAATGGGCCGCCGGGCGTGCCTTAATGTTCACCCACCCCTAGAAGCATTCTGTGGGCGCTCTGCTTTCACCCAGGGCCGTTCAGGCAGTATGGCCCTTTGTTTACTGGTGATCGGGAGCAGCATACTGATATGGATCAGGACAGAGACTCTGGAGGCAGACAAGTAAACTGTCTTTCCTCAGCATTTATATTTAATCTCCATTTTGAAAAGGCAGCACCGCAGCTGCCTATAGGGACTTGAACCCACAGCCTGTTTGGTCACATGACAAGTCCACTCACACATTTCCATCTGTCCTGATTTCTAAGAGTAAGTGAACCCCCAAAAACATGCCAGTGCAGTGTGGGGTCTGTCGATTTATCACAGAGGACTCTCTCTCTCTCTCTCTCCTCCACACCTAGGGCATCTCAGTGCTTCCTGAAAAAAGGCTGGAACACAGACCCTCTCACCCCAATGGCACATTCCGGAATGTCACAGTGGTGGGATTCACGTGCTTCCCTGTCGGGACAGGATACCATAAGGCGCAGAGAAATGCAACCACACACCAAGCCGCACTCGAATGACCACAGTTAAGTGCAAATGAACACAAATCATTCAGTCAATTACTGTGCACCTCTTAAGACATTTTGCAAGAAATACTAAACACCTGCTACTACCTGTTGTACAAATGGTATTTTGGCAAAGTTTTTGCAAATTACAGCAAATTATTTCACGATGGATATCGCAAATCAAAATCATTTAAACACAATCAAAGTAGAACCTTTTTTCTAACCAATTCTTCCTCATAAGCCAATCTGCAAACTCGGTTTATTTGGAAGCATAGCTAGTAAGAAATACTGAATTCATGAAATGAGCTAAACATCCAAGGTGAAAAATGCAACCAGGCACATGTTACCAGGGCTGTGGAGTCGGTAGATAAATGCTCTGACTCCGACGTTTCTAAATTTTCCGACTCCGACTCCCTGACTCCGACTCCTCTGTATGTATATACTATGCTAATGTATTTTCTACATCCATTGAAGGAAAGGAAGGCAACATACATGTCATTTCACCACAGAACTACTGGCTAGGAAGCAAACTCTACTATAATGCCAGATTAAAGACAAACACAATGAAAACAAGGATTTTGCCACCGCCGATGTGCGTGTACAATCGCGGCAATTGATTGGCGGCCGCAGATTGAGGGTGTCCACATGGACGGGCAGATCCAGCTTGCCGAAAATCTCGACCACCGCCCCCATCCAAAGTAATGTG